GAAGCTTTTAACTATAAAGAGGAGGACTTGGAAGTAGCTCTGAAAAGGTGAGCATTTCATGTTCTTGTATAGAAATACATCACAACACTAAAAGATTTAGAGCCTGAGTACATTGTTGGATAGAATGGATGCTACTATGGATAGAAGGGGAAAAAAATTTACCTTCTAAATGACCCAAAGAGAGATTGCAACTCTTTAAAACTAGCAAAGGTTTGTGATTGTCTAGAGGAATCGAAGGCCCCTATTTGAACCTGTAGCTGCAAAAAATCTCGGCTGCAGGGCAAAGATGAATGCATATAAGCAAAAGATCTTACAATAAATATATCATTTCAATACCCATATCACATTATTCAACAAATCCACAATTACTTTTCATCTCAGAAATCCCAATTCACATTTAACTAAAACTAAGCAGATACAAAATCTTCAAAAATCAATTCCCTATTTTAAAAAAAAAATGGAAGAACATATCTCAACAAAGGGAGCAAAACCCGAATCGTGTCAATCAATAATCGATGTCAAACCAATGTAAGAAACTATAAAGTGAATCAAATTGATAATCAAAACAACAAAATTAAATAAATAAATAAATTCAAGAACGCCACTTTCACACACAAAATCATAGATTGCAGATGAATTCAAAACCTTTACAAACAAAAGATTGAGTCTTGAAGAACAAATTGCAAATATATAAATTAGGTAAAATTAGTAAAGGGTTCAAACAAAAATTAAAATGGAAAGATCATACACAATAAACTAAATCAAAATTAAAATGAAAACAATTTATGATTAAGGAACATTAGGCAAACTGGATATATATGTTACTACTTGATAGCCTCACATATTAGATGAAATAGGATATTAAGACTCGACCTAAGTTCTTCATGGGTGAAGAAGTGATCCATACGTAGGAAAATTACCTTCCTTAGAAAATTGATTTACCGTGTAAGTCTAAATTGACTTCTAAATGCTTGAGGGAATATGTCCTTAGCATTATAAGTTTATTTTAATTAATGCAATCACAATATAAATCAAATATAACATATAATTAATTCAAATAAATCAAGACAGTTGTGATTACAAATTCAATAAAACTGGATTCAATGACATCACCCACTTTTGATGTTGAGCAAACTTTAGATCCAATTTCATAGCTCTCATCTAATTCTGATGTTAGGAAAGTGACAATAGAAAGCTAGCAATAAAAAAATACATAAATTAGAAAAAGGACTTAAAATTCTAATGGGTAACAACTTCCCCTGAACAAACACCTCTACAATCAGCCACAAATCTGCCGGTGTGAATCAACCATTATAAACTAAATCAAAATTAAAATGAAAACAATTTATGATTAAGGAAGATTAGGCAAACTGGATATATATGTTACTACTTGATAGCCTCACATATTAGATGAAATAGGATATTAAGACTCGACCTAAGTTCTTCATGGGTGAAGAAGTGATCCTTACGTAGGAAAATTACCTTCCTCAGAAAATTGATTTACTGTGTAAGTCTAAATTGACTTCTAAATGCTTGAGGGAATATGTCCTTAGCATTGTAAGTTTATTTTAATTAATGCAATCACAATATAAATCAAATATAACATATAATTAATTCAAATAAATCAAGACAGTTGTGATTACAAATTCAATAAATCTGGATTCAATGACATCACCCACTTTTGATGTTGAGCAAACTTTAGATCCAATTTCATAGCTCTCATCTAATTCTGATGTTAGGAAAGTGACAATAGAAAGCTAGCAGTAAAAAAATACATAAATTAGAAAATGGACTTAAAATTCTAATGGGTAACGACTCCCCCTGAACAAACACCTCTACAATTAGCCAAAAATCTGCCGGTGTGAATCAACCATCGCACACAAAAGATGCAGGAAAAAATGAAGTCATGATTGATACAGGTGTTGCTTACAAAAGATGCACACAACCATTGCACACAAAAAATGAAGTCATTATTGGAAAATTTAGTTTGATTGATAATTAAGGTTTAAAAATCTAGCAGTCACCTTTGTCGAAAAGAAAAAAATTAAATCCAAAAGAGTTCAAATAAAAAATTAAAAGAATTTACCTTCTAAATGACCCAAAAAATCTAGGCTTGATTTGTAATTTTTCAAGAATGTTGTAGGTCTTACAGGAGAAAAGGCCCCTGGTTTTCCCTTTTGGATTGTTGAGAGAAGTTTGTTTTTATAAAATCACTAAAAAAATCTATTACCAGACGGCCCCTCAAAACACTGATTGTCGTTGAATCAACTAAAAAAAAAATTAAAACTAATAATACAATTCAATATGAGAAACCAAAAATCTACAGGCATAAGAATCATACAGATGCTGTAGTTTCAAATTGTGAAACTGAAATCAAAATACAGAAGAGAAAAAATGATGAGGTATGGACAGAAACAATATATTTTGACCGATGTCAATTAAAAAAAAATTAAAACTAATAATACAATTCAATATGAGAAACCAGAAATCTACAGGCATAAGAAACATAAGTATTGAAAATTTTAAAATCAAAATAACAAATTGTAATTGAGAGAGATAGTTGAGATGTAATGAAATGAACATAGAGATGAGACTCAAACAGATGCTGTAGTTTCAAATTGTGAAACTGAAATCAAAATACAGAAGGAAAAAAAGTGATGAGGTATGGACAGAAACAATATATTCTGTCCACAAAATCACATTTTTTCACTCCACAAAATCACATATTTTTTCAATACACCTTCTTTAAATTACTTGGGATTCTGAACCCATTTGGTATCATTTGCCATGTTTATTAATTAATTGTGAAAAAAAAAAGAAGCAAAGGCCATGTTTTTTCATACATTCCTTATTTACTTGATAATCTGAACCCATTTTGTATCATGTTTATTAATCAATTTTTTTCTAAATTGAATGGGGAAAAAGGAGCAAAACGGAAACAAAATCATAAACCCATAACAGCAGAAAAATCAGAAACAAAATCACACCACAAAAACATTCCACACCACAGAAACATTCACACCATAACCATTAATAATTAATTTCATGATAAACCCATAACCATGATGTGAAAAAAAAAAAAAAAAAAAAAGCAAAGGCCATTTGATTTCTAAATCAACTCATGACCATTCACATGACGGAAATCAAATCAGCCGAGAAATAACAAACATTGAATGGAAATAATTCACTAAACCCAACGGTATAAAATTTGGAACAACAAAATAATTCACTCCACAATCAATTTTTTTTCAACATTCCTTAATTTACTTGATAATCTGAACCCATTTTGTATCATGTTTATTAATCAATTTTTTTCTACATTGAATGGGGAAAAAGGAGCAAAACGGAAAGAAAATCATAAACCCATAACAGCAGAGAATTTAGAAACAAAATCACACCACAGAAACATTCACACCATAACCACTAATAATTAATTTCATGATAAACCCATAAGCATGATGTGAAAAAAAAAAGAAAAAAAAAGGCAAAGGCCATTTGATTTCTAAATCAACTCATGACCATTGAATGGGAATAATTCACTAAACCCAACGGTATAAAATTTGGAACAACAAAATAATTCACTCCACAATCAAATTTTTTTCAACATTCCTTATTTACTTGATAATCTGAACCCATTTTGTATCATGTTTATTGATCAATTTTTTCCTACATTGAATGGGGAAAAAGGAGCAAAACGGAAACAAAATCATAAACCCATAACAGCAGAAAAATCAGAAACAAAATCACACCACAGAAACATTCACAGCATAACCATTAATAATTAATTTCATGATAAACCCATAACCATGATGTGAAAAAAAAAAAAAGCAAAGGCCATTTGATTTCTAAATCAACTCATGACCATTCACATGGCGGAAATCAAATCAGTCGAGAAATAACAAACATTGAATGGGAATAATTTACTAAACCCAACGGTATGAAATTTGGAACAACAAAATAATTCACTCCACAATCAAATTTTTTTCAACATTCCTTATTTACTTGATAATCTGAACCCATTTTGTATCATGTTTATTAATCAATTTTTTTCTACATTGAATGGGGAAAAAGGAGCAAAACGGAAAGAAAATCATAAACCCATAACAGCAGAAAAATCAGAAATAAAATCACACCACAGAAACATTCACACCATAACCATTAATAATTAATTTCATGATAAACCCATAACCATGATGTGAAAAAAAAAAAAGCAAAGGCCATTTGATTTCTAAATCAACTCATGACCATTCACATGGCGGAAATCAAATCAGCTGAGAAATAACAAACATTGATAATCTGAACCCATTTTGTATCATGTTTATTAATCAAATTTTTCCTACATTGAATGGGGAAAAAGGAGCAAAACGGAAAGAAAATCATAAACCCATAACAGCAATGAAGTAAATACATATAAATTGCTTATAACAACAGAATGGGTAGCTTTTGCTTTTGAACAATGAAGTAAATGCATATATGTGTGTGTATAAACATATGTATAACAAAATTGTATCCAAAATTATGAGAAAAACACTCTAAAATACATCATAACAATAGAATATACAAAACCTCAAACTATATTAAAAAAAACATATCATTCAATTACCATAAGACTTCCAAGCATGCCTTAAAGACATAATTATATGATTGTAGTGATGCATGAAAGTGGATAAAGTAGTAGTTCCTTGAAGAAGCTGGTCAGGAAGTGTAAACATACCTTGGGCAATTATAAGGATTAGAGAAGATGAGCTCGGAGAGTTCACACTGTACGAAAAGAAGAGAATGGTCATGAGTTGATTTAAACATACCTTGAGACCCCTCATTCAATATATACACCCAATCATATAACAAAAAGAAAAAGAAAAGAATTTACTCCACCACCTTTGACTTGAATATCTATGTTGCATAACAAAATTAACTAACTTGCCTTGTAAAGATGAGCTGGGATATAGGTGCTCTGAGTTTCTGACCAAGTAGCTACAACACCACGCGGTGGCTCTTTGTAAAATCCATATAGAATAGGTCCATTGTTTGCTTCATCTAATTGCTCCACCTCTGGTATATTTAACCAACCCAATTCAGGTACCGATCCTGAAAAACAACCATGAAAGAGAAGAGAATGAATGCTATCAAATTACCTTTATAGACTCCACAAATAGTGGATTAGGTGTTATTAGAAGAGAACAATTAGAGCCAAGTTGTAGATTGACAGCACCGTATACCCCCAAAATCAAAGTCATTGAAACTGAAATGAAAAAAACAGAACCCAACACCAAATTTAAGATCTATCAGACTCTCAAGCTTAACAACACAACCAGCATTCAGAAATCTATATTTAATAGCATTTCCAATCCTTCATCAAATTTGAAAAAAAAAATGCTAAAATCTGATCCACCCATTTCATCAAATCTATATCAAAATCGAGGGGGGCCAATTTTTTCACCAAAGCAAGGATGAGCGAAAGTAGGTTGATTTGACAAAGGAATCAAAGTAGGTTGATTTTGCATTTGAAGAATTAAATAAATACAAACATAAAAGTAGAGAAAATTTCAGAGAGAGATGGAGAGACGCAACACAACATTATAATTGATTGGGTGATCTTCAATGGCGGCGAGAGAAGGGCAATTTCAGTGTTTCTTTTTCTGAATGCTGATCTTCAATGGTGATCTTCAATGGCGGCGATGCCCCGCAACAGCCAAAAACAAACACAGAGAGAGAAGGGGAGACCGCAACACAACATTAAAAACACTGAAATTACCTGAAGGATGGGTTTGAAGGGAGCCAGCGAAGAGGGAGGGGTGCGAGTGCGAGTTCAAAGGAAGCCGAGGAGGGTGGGTGTCGAGGAGCTGAGTTCGATCTTCCTCATTCAAATCGCATGTTTCCAAACCTTCTCTCAACTCTGCAGCAGTATTTGTCTGTCCTTCATTCACATTATATTTTCTACAAAATGGTATAGCCAGCCAAGCTTCACATCTCATCAGAGAGTAGGAATGGGAAGGTAGATGAGGTATGGGAAGAAGAGGTATGGGGGAGACACAGAAATGTGTTGGGCGGGAAATGTGAGCCATTCAAAGCAAATCTAAACCATTGATATAAACTTGGGATTAATCTTAACCATTGGATCAAAATGTATCTCACATACATTTTTGACATAAATTCAAAAACCTTTGTGCCTATTATATAGACTAGTGTAATGCCCGTGCCTAAAGGCACGGCGTAAATAATGGTAAATCATACCCAAACAGTGACTTTAGGCTGTAAGTCCACTTAGTTGGCCACAAAACCAATGAAGGTTGCGGACCATCTATACCATCTCTGATTTATTGCTTTTAAATAAGTGACTGGTTATTGCTTGTAAATCATACACCAACCTCCTCCAATACAAACTCAAATCCAAATCATACCCAAACACATACTTAATCAACAAAAATAAAAAATCACACAAACCAATATTTCAATTGAAATGGGTTTTTGAAACCCATTTCAAAACCATCAAAAACAAATTTTACCCTAAAGGACTACAAAAATCCAACTCAATGCAACCTTAAGTCTCACAACAATACAATGTAAAAATATCATAAACCCACAAAAGGCACACATCATCCTGTTTACTGTCTTTGGGTCCATGAAAAATTTACACACTCATTTGTTCAAGATCATTATCATCAACAACAAATCATATTTGTTCTTCACAACAACACAATTACCAAATCTTATATGTTCATCATCATCATAAAAAATTTTAGCTACAAAAATTTACTTTTGCACAGATCAAGTCTTATACATGTATCTTATCTGCATCATCATCATTCTACATCATCGTAATTCATCAACAACACAACAACATATGTACTCACAACACCCAGATCATCACAACACCAACAACAATTAAGATCAATCAGCAAGAAAAACACAGATCCAATCCAAAAATCAACAACAACAATGAGCACTCATAACACCCAGAAGTACTGAAACCGCATCAAATATCTGTAACATTAAAGAAAAAAAATTAACTGATATTTCATTTATATTTCACTCACGTTTTTATTTTTACTTTCCAAATTCATGCAAAAAAGACTAAACTAGAAATTTTATAAGAGTTTTTTTAAAAGAAAATTTGGACTTTTGGCAATGAGATTGGTTGGGCTGCTAGGACATGAGACACATATTAAACAAAAGTCAACATTGTTAATGTCTAGTGCATAACTTGTGCCTAAAGGCACTCCCATATAACTTTCTTTTTTTTTTTTTTTTTTTTTTGGGGGGGGGGGGGGCGATCGAACCCATATAACCACTTAAATAGTGGATTTTGTTCCTTGTACCCAAAAAAAAAAAAAAACTATCACTCATACGATTTGTGGAGCTTTAGACTTGGAAGTCATACATATACGTCAATTTAATGTTACATTACCTCACCAATTTAATAGCATAAATTCAAACCTAGGTAAGTAAATCCATTTTTAATCCAACTTACCAAAATCAGCTGTCGAGAAAAATCATTGCGGCCATATAATGCCAAGGTTGTTAAAATTGGAATCCTACATAGGACGGTGAGAGGGTCTCATGGATCGGATTGTAGGATCAGATTGAGAATCGTAAGATTCTACTTTCTAGGTAAAAATACAAATTAGAATGATGAATAATAAAAATAAGGTGAAAAATCATAAATCCAGTGATCCTACTTATGATCCTACATATGATCCTACTTGCGATCCTACTATAACACCGATCCTACAACGATTTGGATCGTTTTGACAATTTAGGATTGTAGGACTATGATCCAAATCGCGATTTTGATAACCATGTATAATGCCCCAATGTGGTTGAATAAATTATATGAATGAAAACATACTTCAAAGAGAGTAATTGTAGGGATGATGTAAAAGTCATCAATTAAAAACAACTATAAAATTGAAATTATTGCTCTAAAATATAGCCAAATAAAAGTATTTGAAATTATTGACCTTCTTTCTTTTCACTTCTGATATTGTTTCTTGTCACTTGATTTGGGCTCACATCAAATTTCAGAGGCTTTATCTTCAATATCAAATGCACCCAATAGTTCTAACTGGCCTTTCACAATTATTTTCTGTTGTAACTGAAGTTTAGAGCTAGGGAATTAAAATAAAAGAAAATAGAGACAGGGAGAGATAGAAAGAGTAGTCGATGGCCTAAAAGGCGCATATATTGTATAATGAAAGGAGAAAAAATTTAAAAGGAAAACTCACATTAGGAATTTTAGGATGGTTCTTCTATGAGGATTAAAAGCAGTACGCTATTCTTTTCCTTTTCTACATGGAGGATGAATGGAGCTTTTCCTTCGATTTGAAAGGGTCTGATAGACATAAGTTCCATTGAGGCTGACATAAGTTCCATTGAGGCTTCAATGGCTTTTAAGGATTTAAACTCACAAAACCAAACCATACCTGAAAAAATATAAGAATTCATTCCAAACAATGAATTTTCTGAATATTCTGACCACACAACAAAACAGATTTTAAAACAACACAATAAAGAATTCATTCCGAAATAACTCAGAAAAACGGCTGTAAAAGAATCCATTCCAAAACAATGAATTTTCTGAACTCATTTTTTTTCCCAACTCGATGCTCTAAATTTTTTTCTTTCTTTCTTTTTTCTTTCAATAAGTATTAACACATCAATCTAAGGAAATTCAAAAGTTCCAAGTGGTGTCCAATGGAACTTATCACCTTTAAATGGTAAATAAATTCTCAAGCTTTCTCCACCAATCTGGTAGCACCACAGCAATTAAGTATTGCACCGTTGAATTTCACATGTTAAGTATTGGCAAAAGATCAATATTGCAACTAACAGAGAATAGAGTACATATTTATACCCCTCAAAAAAACACTCATTAGTTTTACAGTGAGCAAGAAATTGGGTACCGATGATATGTATACAAATTGGGTACCGATGCTATTAAATAAAATATCCATTATATAATCATTGAAGTGGATTCCACACCAACTGATTGTGTGAATGCTATTTGTTAATTGCTCCTCGTGCAACAAACCAAGTGACAGAACATTCCTGAAAAATGTAAAGTCTTAAAAAAACAATTTTACCCTTCTCATTATATGAACAAAGGTATTATATTAAAATAGTCATTATATATACATAGAGATAGAAAACTAATTACCTCACATTAATAGTTTTCAATGCATGCATTTTATGGGATTTTGGTTTTCATGTTTTAATTATGTTAATTTATTAGTTCTTGAAATATGAAATCTATGCTTCAATTAAAATATTTGTTGACCAAGTAGCACTTTTTACTCTGTTAACTTGAAAACTGTTTTTAGAATTGGATTTGTAACTGACAAAGTGATGAAATAAGAATACACGAAAAGAAGAGGAAAAGACTACCTCTAAGAAGCCAGCCTGATCAAGGATTGCCCGCACATTTTCTGACATAAAATCAACTCCTAGAACTGTGATATATTGGTAACCAGCTTTTACCATCTTGACAGCCAAATCTGCCATAACCAGCAAATCAAATATATGGATGTGAGGCCACTGCAGCAGTTAAGACCCCTTAGACCTCAGGATCTATGTAAATAAAAATAGTAGAAATTATTTTTTGCATAGCATAGCAATTAGAATCGATTTCATAGCAATTAGAATTGATTTCATCCCAAAACCCAAAAAATGAGAAGAATCCAAGACAGCAGAGGTCAGAGAGACCCGAAATTAGATGCAAAGAGATAGTTATTAAATATAAAAACTAAAAAAAAAATCACAAATAAATTAATCTTAGCAAATCAAAACAAATCATTTTCAACACAACTAAATTAAATATAAAAACTTAAAAAAAAAAAATCCACCGCAAACCTCATATACTGAATAATTTTCCCAAAAAATAGTATTTGGGTCGCATTTACAATCCTGATGTGTTTCAATTGGGCAGGGAATTCAAAATGGGTTCATGAGATGGAATGGTCTGGTCAGAAAGACTTCACAGCAGCTCCCACTGTGAGATTTCTGGTTGATGGTGCAGAAGCAGGACTGCTTAAAAACCATGGTCCTCTAACATTCCTCAAGGTATCTCTCTCTCTCTCTCTCTCTCTCTCTCTCTCTTGCAAACTCTTTAACTTCGGCACATTTTTTCAACATTTTCTCACTTTGGCACCTAAAAAGTTTGTTTTTGCCACTTTGATCCTTAATAACAGGTTCATGATGCTGGTCACATGGTTCCAATGGATCAACCAAAAGCTTCATTAGAAATGCTAAAGAGGTGGACTCAAGGAAAACTCTCCATGACCAAGTCAGAAGGTCGGCTCACTCCGATGTGATTGCCACACACTGACCTTAGTCCCCATGTGTGTCCAATTTCAATTGTGCACAGGTGGAAATATCCAAAATGTGCCTGGAAATACCAAAGCAATCCTCTTGTGCTTGTAGTATTAAAAAACAGGCCATTCCATAAAGATTGCTCACAGAAATTATTAATGAGTGCATTAATATGAAAACTTCTTTTTTTTTTTCTTTCTTTTTTTTTTTCCAAGAAAGCACATCTCTCTTCCATAGAGAAAATCACATTGCCTTGAAATGTTGGAATCTAGAGTCGGTAATCAGTACACGATAGAAGTTTTTTATTTTGAAGCTTAGTTTTCTCCTACCGAGCCCAAAAAGTAGAGAAATCCAAGTAGAAGAAAAAAAAAAAACCAATTCTGGCAATCCCAAATTCTACAACAACAACAACAGATTTAACTTTTCTTTTTTTTGCCCCCTTAAAAAAAACCAAAAAAAAAAAACTATTTCCCTCTTTTCTCCTTTCCCATTATTTTTTCCTTTTTCCCTCACTGTTTCTAAGAACACAAAGAAGCCACAGCCAAATTCTATTATTTTCTCTCTAATACTACACTACTAAAACTCTGCTAGGGAGGGGTTTTCATTACTTTAGGCTGCCAAATAAAATTAAATAATAATTAAAAAAAGGAACTTGAGAAGGCAAAATCCGCAGTAAAATGAGCAAAATAAAAATTATCACTGAAATTTTCATCTATAGGAAAACCCAATAACATGAATTAATTTTTTCTTCAGCAACTAAAACAGATCATTAATGGGTGGGTATTAAAGAGGAGGAAAAAGAAGAAGAAATAAAAAAAAGGCTAGAAAAAAAAAATGCAACATAATTTGTCAACTGAACAAATTGCAAGAATTAGATGAAATATACAAACTGATTCGCATCTCAAGAGTAAATAATAAAGGATAGGGGTGAAGTACCAGAAAAGGATGAAGCTTGGAAAAATCAAAAGAATTCATCAGCAGAGCAACCAAACAGAACCCTAGCAGCAGCTCAATCAAAACACCTTTTTGTAGACATTCATATCCCCAAACAACACAAACACAGAATCAAAATTGAGAACATTCATATCCCCAAACCAAGAAATTTTCTTTGAATTCTCTTAGCATCGAAACATCAATGAGCAAAAAAACAGAGAGTCTATGTGCCAAAGAAAAGAACCCTATTAAAATGTTCATAACCAGTTTTGAACGTCTAGCAACATCCTTAAACCAAGATTGTATAGATGTGATTGGTTTTAAATAAGGTGATTGCTTTCATGCCCTGTTAGGGGACATCAAATATTTTTTGAAAACAATTCTAAAGTCAATCACCTTTTAAAAATACCCAACAATTTTTTTTTTTAAATTATTTGCACACACAAATAAAAATATTTGAAATCTATGGATACTTTCAAAATTTTCATTATTTTATCAACACCAAAAATTGAACAAAGAAAATAAAAACAAAATCAAATAGACCCTTTTTATGTGTTTGTGTTCAATTGAAATTGATAAATTCTTCTAAGCAAACAAAATCAAATAGACCCTTTTTATGTGCTTGTGTTCAATTTTGTTTTTAATGATTTTTCCCCCTCTCTATTCGGGGTTCAGGTGATTCGAAAGAGAAAAGCTATTTCTTCTGCAAAAGATCAAACAAGAATGTGAACAAATGCAAGGGAATCACGGGGTCTGGTTATTGGAAAGCCATGGGCAAAGACAAATATATTATATCTCCTGGAAGCAATCAAGCTGTTGGGGTTAAAATTTTTCTCAGTTGAAGCCAGGGTTGACACAGCCCGTCAGAAAGAGAGAGAGAGAGGCAGGACACGATGAACTCAAAAAAAAAAAACCTAAAATTAACCAAACAGTATCAGAAATCGCAATAATAATAAAAACACACAGCCCAATAGAGAGAGAAGGGGAGAAGTAGAAACCGAGGACTACGTTGCGAGCCGAGTTCGAGAGGTAGAAATCGAGGACTGGAGAGCAGCGTCGAGAGCGAGTGAAGAGGAAGGGTAGGAAAGAAAAAGAACAAAGAGGGAGAGAGAGAGATCTTACCTTGCGAGTCGAGTTCGAGAGGCAGAAACCGAGGACTGGAAAGCAGTGTCGGAGCGAGCAAAAGAAGAAGAATAGAGAGGGAGGGGGGGAGAGAGAGAGAGAGAGAGACGTGGGTGAGAATAGAGAGGGAGAGAGAGCCGTGGGCAGGTGGAAGGCTGAGGGAAACAAATATTTGGGCGGGAAATAGATAGATCTGAGCCATTGATATATATCCAGGGTTGTTATAGACCATTGGATCAAAATGTATCTCACATACATTTTATACATTTTCAAAATCCTTCCTCCCTTATTATATAGATTACACATTCTTTTATGCATTAACGAAAATAATAATGACCATTATTTTATGTCATTTCAAATCAATTTTTTGGTTGGAGTACTTGTTGAGTATGTTGGTTTCTTGGTCAATTTGCTTTCATGTGTTCGGAAAAATTAGCATCAATTTTATATTTTGAGATATTTAAATTGAGATGTCTTAAATTATTATAAAATATTAAAATATTACACATTGAAAAATGCTTGAGAACTCTAATTAGAGCCACCACTAATGATGTAGCAGTGGGTTCCACCCACTGCCACAGTGTATGTTGTGCTTTTTTTTTTTTTTTCACAATTTCCACCTCACTAGTGGTGGATTTAAAGTTTCTTATTTAGAACTCTAAATCATTGCTGTTACACATTCTTTTATGTCATCAACGAAAATAATAATGACCAAATTATTTTCTCATTTTATGTCTTACATATCTATTCTCTCTTTAAAATTTATCAAAAAAAAAAATATATTTTTTTTTTTGAGGGGGAGGGGAGATAAGGGGATAGGGGTAGGATATTTCTAATAATTTTTTAATTTTGTAATAGTTTTTAATGAACTTCAAAGAGAGAACATATGTATGATTTTAGAAAATAAGGGTTAACTTGGCCATTTAAATGTTTTCATTAACGACATCGAGATATGTGTAACATTTTGAGTTGAAGGGGTTAATTATAGGAAGATATTTTTCTCCAATCCGATATTGGACTGGAGAGTGTTTTGTTAGACCTCCGTGGGATCACTATAGAGTTTACATTGATAATCCGAACTGTTTAATATTTAAGTTTATTGAGTACTTCATCCTTGCAAATGATTACATTGATCGGATATTAATAACCATTAGATCAAATTATATTTGTGTCAAAAGTAAATATGATTTTAAAAATAAATTGTTTACACACAAATGTGTACTGATTGAGTGAAAATTGATATTCAATGAACGAAATATTTTGTAGGGAAGATGCACTCAATAAACCCTACACATTAATTGATTTAGATTATCAATGTGGGTTTCATGATGAGCACATAGAGGCCCATCAACATCTTAACTGGAGAGAAATACTTTCTTATAGTATACTTCATGGTTAGTTAAACATACTACATTAATGCCGTTAAGGTGTTTTAGCAATATTAGTAGTTTATGGAGTCCATTTGTATTTATTTATTTATTTTAATTTAGGAGATCAAAGTGATGCTTAACAATAGTTTATAGGATTTTTGTGTAAATAACCCTTATATATATATATATATATATATATATTTTTGTGTGTGTGTGTGTGGGTAAATTACACAATTTTTCTAAGGTTTGAAGGTTTGAGAAAAGTATAGTTAATCTCACAGTTTTGACATAATTGCAAATGACATTCCTTTTAGTATAATTAAAATGACTGAAACTAATATAAATCGTAAGTAGACATTGAAATAAATAAAAATAAGGAAATTTACCAATCAGTCTTATTAACTAGACTTATTTATTTATAGGTCATGACAAATAAATTTATCACTGTAAATTTATTCATAAAAACAAGTGAGACTGATAAATTTGTTACCTAATAAATCTATTAATAGGATTTAATAGGTAATAAGTCCTAAAAGTAGGATTTATTGGTAATTTACCCTAAAAATAAATACACATTTTAGTTAAAAATAGATGTAATGTCATTTTTTCATTTATATATTTAATTATGGATGAAAAATAACTTAATTGTTATGCGAATTAAACCTCGAGTGAGACCAGTATAATTACGTTAAAAGTATAAGATTAACTATAATTTTTTCAAATCTCCAGAAAAGTGAGTGTAAATTTGCCAAATTGTGTTTTAGGAAAAATTACATGTCAGTTGAATTTTTTTTAAAAAAAATTATGATTTTATTTTTTAATGTATGTAAAGTTTACCATTAATTCGAAAATATTTTTCTAACATGCACTGAATTAAAAAAAAAAAAACATTTTTTTTATTCGGAGCTGTTATGGTACACCTTTAAAACGAAATATACAATACGTATTTTACCAAATGCTTCATAACAAACACCACACTCATGTTTTTTTTTTTTTTAAATGATTGGTAACAATTCTAACCACAAACGGCTGGTAAATATCATTTATAATATCACTACAATGATTTTATAATTTACACTTTAGAGATGCAGAATATAAATTTGCATATTTATAAATTTTATTATAAAATAACATAATTAACATTATAAAGTGACATAACATTTCTTACATTATATTCTTTGAAAAGGTATATGCTATTGATTTCTCCCTTTTATCCTCTGTTTTTTAACGTTTTATTAGTATTAATAAAATGTTACTTTTAAAATAAAAAACAGAAAATGCACTACCACTATCTCTTGCTCTGTGATTGTGTTTAAGTGAAAATGACCTTATGAGCTTGCCATTAGCCAAAAGGGGTTCTGAATAAGACTTTTCGAATGCAAACAGAGGCTGCAAAGGGTGGAAGTGGTTGGCGCCATTATAAAAAGTATTTCTTTATTAAAAAAATATTAAAAAAATATTTTTAATATTAAAAATATTCCATTTTATTTTTTCTTTTAAACTAAATTTCCAATTAGAGCCATATTTTAGAAAACATTTTGAAACCTTTTTATGTTAAACTTGGCATTCTTTTCAACTATATAATTTAGTAGGTCCATTTTAAAGAAATTCTAAAATATCACTTAATTTTGTAAATTCATCTAATGAGATTACAAAGTATTAGTTAAAATATTGAATTAACCCTAATTATCTATAAAATTTCAGTAGTTTGATTTTAATCACTAGGTACAATCAATGTATCTATAATTGAGAGAGAAACTGACACGTGAATACCCAATGTATTCTTATTTAGTTAGGTCTACCACAACCTATTAAATGTGCCAGTTGGTCAGAAAATTGTAGTATCATCTTGAGACAAATTCATATGGTGCCTTAATTTATTTATTTTTTAGGCGAAATAATAAGATCCACCATTTTTATATTTTGCAAAGTAAATTAATTATGTGTGCAGTAATAACCCAAAACCATCAAAAACCTCTTCAGATTAGATTCAATTACGCTTTCTTATTAAGTGATTTTTAGGATTTATAGTGGGTGTCACATTATCTTAATTTTATACAAATATAAAGTTGCACTACTTTATCAAATTTCAAAGTCTAAGATCAATATTACATTTAAAAAAAATGAAGTCTAAGACCTATAATTTATCACGCCATCACGAGTGTTACAACCTCGCTTAATATTTTGAGATATAAAATAAAAAATTGTAGATATAGCTCTTTTACAATAGAAGGGAAACAATTTTGACAGGCTTAATCAGAACAATTCAATCCCCAACCCTTTTAAATTTTAATATTTTGATAGTATATGTTGAATCACAAGTTTGAGTCTAAGTTAAAATTAATTTCTCGAATGCCAATTGGATTGGGCTTGGGAAAAAGTTTCAAGCAATCGGAGCAACTCAAGTCCAAGTTTAGTACTATATTTCATATAAAAAAAAAAAAAAAATCAAAAACATCACCCTCTCCTCTCACATTGACCATTAAATCTCCCCTCATTTTCTTTGGAATTGAAGTGATGAAACTTTGTTTTTTAGATTGTGCCAAAATACTATAGTTGGTTATTTGATTTTTATTCATGTTATTTTTTTAAAGATTTTTGGTTATTGGATTAAATG